GGATAATGAGGCTCGTATTGTTGTTTTAGTAGAGCTTTTCATTTCCAGTTTGTTCTTAGCCGAGAGTTTATTCTTTTTGGTCGTCGACGAAGTAGTTTCAAGGCTATCTTTCCATGGTTTATATTTTCGAAATTGTGTTAAACTACCTATACTTTACTGGGTTATTGATGGAGAACTATAGAATCGACAGAGAATCGGAGTGCTTGAAAAAGCGTAGAATCTCCTGATGATCTTCTAAATCTCTGACCAGTACCGATCGGCGAACCAGGCCTCCTACATACACTGCAGGTCGATACGCATTAACTCCATGTCACGGTTTCCGATTCTCCCAGTTCCGCGTTCCAGTTTCGCAAGGTATGAACGCAGGAAAGTTTTCTCGCCTTGTTCTCTTGGGAATCTTGGGGTTTTTTTATCCTACTAATATAATCGGCTATGTCCGTGTGTGTGCGTCTGTCTGTTTGTCACGAAATTCATAGCACCTGAAGAAGAACTTGGAGAGGTCGGGTCATGGTGGGGATGGGTAGAGCATGGGACAAAACCTAAATAGCACCCATGACCCATGGTAAGTGGGCGAGGCGTGCGTCGAAAGTTAGCGATGTCACTGAAAAAAGTCATAACTCGGTTCCAGAGCAGTCCCGAGATGAGGAACAGTGCAGTAAAGTTAACAAAGGGCTGACCGACCAAACAGAGGAGACACACCCGAAATGGGCGGGCGTACTTGAGATGGGCGGCGCTTCCCGTGTCACTGAAAAATCACCATAACTTGGCTACAAAGCAGCTCGGAGACGGGAAAAAGTGGAATAAGGTTAGCACTGGGTTGGCACACCAAATGGAGGAGACACACCCAAAATGGGCGGGGCGTACTTGAGATGGGCGGCGCTTCCCACAAAGGTCGGTAACTCAGTTGACGAAAACGCTGCCGCTGGCGTACGCTAGAAGCGCTACGCTACGCTGCCGCAAACTACAAACGCAGCCTAAAGCGCGAACTAGCAGCCAAATTAGGATATAACATTCACCAGAAACTTGATGAGGAATGCCGACAGAAGCTGAAAACAAATGGACTCCGAGTAACAGGTGAAGTGAATTGGTGGGGTGAAATGCCTTGTGATTCTATTGCGTGAAAACCGCTCAAGATTCAATTTCTGCGATTTCCTAGTGAGCTATTAGAGTAGATTCCTCTTTGGGTTCTGCTCCAACTTATTTAATAGTGTTATTTCACTTTTTTCACAGTCGAAAGGGTTCACGTAGGCAAGCATCTTAGGGAGGTGTTTTATTCATGCCCTAAACACGAAATCTCTTCCATTTTGCTGAGGAGAGAGCAGATGGGTCATCGCTCGCCGCGAGCCGCGTGGTCCCCCTCCCCCCTCCAAGTACGTTAGCACCTTACTCTTCGTACTCTCTTGTCTCACAACTCATCATTTTCTGTTTTCATCGTCATAAAGTGGAGAGTCCTGTGCCTGGGTGCTTCACTAGGCTCAGGAAGCAGGGGAAGCAATATTGCACAATCTTATATTTCGTGTGCAAGTTGTGGTGCTATTACGTATTTGAGATGGGAGTGTTTGAGTGAGGGGATTGAACCACTCTTTTTCTTCCGCTCTTATTTCCTTTCTCCTGAACCCGCTCATCAAGGCAGTGCTCGACGAAGCATCATGGGGTCACTCTAAGGCTGCGTTTATACTTTGCAGCAGCGTAGCGCTTCCAGCGTTTCACTGGCGTTTCGCTAGCGTTTGCAGCGGCGGGGCTAGAGAGTATAGAAGAGTAGGAGAGTATTTTGTACTCTCCTACTCTTCTACACTCTCTCTGCCGCTGCAAGCGCTAGCGAAACGCTCGTGAAACGCTGGTAGCGCTAGATCGATACCTATACATCCCGTGCCCTCGCTACGCGTACGCTGGTGACGCTGGGAACGCTAGATCGATACCTATCCTTTCCCCGACACTGCCGCTGGCGTACGCTGGAAGCGCTACGCTACGCTGCCGCAAAGTATAAAGCGTAAAGGTGATTGCAGAGATGTATATAACACTAGGATATTGTAAAGATTGAGTCTTAGGCTCTTAGGGTAAATTCCAGAAGAATTTTCTGATTCATCCTTTCACCAAGTATGGAATCGACCTCCGACTGGAATGATCACTTTCCTCCTGCTTATTTAGTTCACATCTTCTATTCTCCTGCACTCTGAAATCCGTAGATCGATATCTACATTTTTTTGGCGCACACTCTGCAATCTCTCAATCTACTGTATTCGATGTCGCAAAGTATGAAGCAGAATCTCATCAACGACAAAGCTATTGTAATACCGCCAGGAAATGAAGGACCAAAAAGCCAGCGAATTTGTGATCAGTCATGTTTTATTTGTTGATGCTTCGGTGTTTTCGAAGTAACAATATTTATGAACAATGATTAAACCTGATATTTTCATTGCAGTGATAATGGCGGTATTCCATGACGAAGTGGAAATCGAAGATTTCACCTATGACGAAGAGAAGGAACTGTACCATTATCCTTGCCCTTGTGGTGATCGGTTTGAAATTACGAAGTGAGTTCATTTGAAGAACTCCGATTTTCCTTATCGTCCTTTTTTTAATCTTTAGGATCTTGAGATGAAGACACAGGTCACACAAGTGAGCGCACAGGGTACAGCATTGTGATGTGTGTAATGGTGGTGTCAGTACGACCCCCTCCCCCTCGAGCGACGGTCTCTACAACTCTCCTCCTCCCACAACCCCTACCTACTAAATTCCCACATTTTCCAGTTTTCACCCGAAGATTTTATGTTTACAGCACGTCGAACGGGATGGGAAAGGGGATAGCGGTATATAGAACACATGTAACAGGAAAAACCACAAAAGGTTAACAACCGGATATCGCATTAGTTTTTGGCGCTGGTGCCATTTGGCGCCACAACTTTCCGCAGCAAGTTCGGAGTAAACATGCATACTGGGATTGTTCGCTGCACATGCTGATTACAAACGTGACATACATTTTTAGCCCCGTCGCCATTACGCGCATATTCGCATCCTTCTTCAGCGAAATCAATAAAACCTAGCATAACAAGGTTGTTTGATTCCTGACTATGAACATGGCCGTAAATTTTTGATTTAGTGCTCTGCCATTTCTGAGCCTGGAAAAAGAAATGGTCCCCTTCAGGCTAGCCCCAGCCTTAGCAGAGCGTGATTGTAGCGTCCGTAGTTAGCGCCTACGTCAAGGATGAATGTCGTATTTGCAATCAGGATGTCAAATAACCTCCGTGTACAAGTTCTTACCAATTTTGGTACTTTGGCGTCGGCGAGTGTGGCGCGGACACCAGGTGGTTTCTGGCCAAGTGGTTGTGATATTCCTGTTTAGGAAGTGAAGCTGTCTCTGGAGGCAAATTTTCAACCTCAGCTGCCATCATGGAAAGAAATTTGATACAAAACTTGCCTGTTTTGGAAGATTTGGGTAATAATAGGTGAATAGTGCCGACAGTGCTTCCCGTAGCAAGTTCTATCCTCCCTCGACAATTGACCCGCCGGATCTTCATTCACTCTCTAGACGCCTCGCCATTTCGGCCATCTGTTACTGCACTCGAACTCAAGAAATGTGTCCGACTCTCCAGGTTTCTTGAAAGGGAAAACACGATGGCATCTGTGAAAAAATGCCGAGAGAACCCGAGGATCTAGGCCAGTAAGTTGGTTCCTCCATACTTGTTGCGAAGGGTACGCGTTGCCTAATCACGCTGTCTGGTATCGATCGGCAATGGCCGCTTAGGCTTTAGAAGAGTGTAGGAGAATGGGGAAGTACCAGATTGTCTAAAGGCAGCACCTGTCCTCCTCTTGTCCCATACTTTCCCAAAACAGAAGCGGACTTCTCAGTCAATTCTCGTCTGCGGCTGCGTTCGCATCTATAGGGTTGGAGCGCTGTTGCAATTGTAGCGCGTTAAAGCGAGTCGACGCGCGTTATCGCGAAGACTGGACGTCGCATTAACATTTTTATGAAAATTTACATAACATTAATATTTACATTTATTTACAGGGAGATGTTGGAAATGGGAGAAGACGTGGCTACGTGTCCAAGCTGTTCGTTGATTGTCCGCGTGATTTACGATCCTGATCTGTTTACGAAGTTAGAGACGATAACGACATCCCCTCCAAGGGAATTGATATCTGAAACTGCTTAATTGATATTCTTTGTACCATAGTTTTCCACCTCTTATTGGTTTTGAGAGTTTATCCAAATTTCTGTTGAATGCGAACTACAGTAGTCTATCTCGTTAACTTCGTATACGGGTAGTTTTGGTGATAAGCGCTTTTCAGTATAGCCATGTTTTTTGCTCGTTGCTTCGCTTCCATCACCCTTTTCCGTCAGTGTGAATTATTGTTGCAGCAGATATCCAGCGAGAAAGCTCTATGTATGTTTGTTGCTTGAAATAAATAAGAGCACAGTTTTTTGGTGCAGTACGGGGCGCGGTGCGACGTGGAAACAGCTGAAATTGGATTACTGAGCAAAGTACGCAGACTAGAAAGAATTTTCGCATGTCCTAAAGAGACCTGCTGCTGAAACTCAAAGAGAGCTCAATTTGCAATAACCCTTTCTTGTGCAAAATGGCGGATTCGCAGTCACCTAGAAAGTCCCATGGTCGCGACTCGAAAGCGCTTGATAAACGGAAGGCGGACTCCGCTGCGATAAGCTAGCTCCGCCTTCGCGAACTAATTCCACCTTGATCATTTTTTTTGTTTATCAGTACTCAGTACCGGTGGTAAGTGCTGAACTTTTAGCTTTGAAAATTTGTCCTTCGATACTCAGCCATAGCTACTAAACACGGGAACCTCACCCAAATGGGTGCGAAGTGGGTGCGAAGCGACTCAACGATGGTGGAATGTGGAACATGTGACGGTGCGACCTGTTTATACTTCCTTGCATCCTTCCTCCAAGAATTTCTTCCTCTGCCAAAGCTGAACATCTCAAAGGCAGTTGGCGCTGTAATTTTGGACTCTGTTTATAATGGTAGCAGCGGTGCTAAGTAGTGGGCGGGCACGCTGGGCGTCCGGGCCAGTATGTTTAAGCTGGATAGGGCGCTACAAAGGCACCTATCTTGGAAAGGCGCCACGGGGACGCCGGATTCGATCCTCTAGGCGTATTAGTCCCACACGTCGTGGAGATTCATCGTGTCAGCTGCCTTTAATGGAAAGGATTACTACTGCTGACGGTCTGAATGGGTGCTAATCAGTTTCACCTTGTTTCTATAAATGCCATTGCTTGGCATGTCACGGTCCTTAGTCCGCATACACGCGCCGCGGTCAAAATAGGCCTATACCTTGCTGTTGCCTGTAACGCTAGCACTAGGCGGTTTCGGGTTCGGCGGAAGTCATATTCGTGACCAATGTCAAACTACCTCTGTTGCGAATTCTCGGCCACGTCTGCCTTTGTGGAAAACGATCCTACCAGGCATACCTTGAAGAATGAACCGTAGCGAGGCCACTAGGTTCGGAGAACTCGCCCGAGCTTTGCTTAACTCGTCCTTTTTCACTCCTGTTCAGAAGGTGTTATTCGGAGCACTACTAACGATTTTTGATTTCTTGTCTGACTCAGCATTGCACTTACTAGATCTAATGGTTCTGAGCCCCATAACCTGCGAAAGTCGAGGGCGCTGTCTTTAAATGCCATCAGTGGAAGTCGAGTTCCGCCACAAAAGTAAAAATGAACCCAAAAATGACATAAGCGAGATAACCATCAGAGCAAGGCCCTGGGAGGACAATGAATATTCTGAGAGAACACAGGAACAATTTCCACATGAAATCCATATTAGGGTGGTGGCTTTTAACAAGCCTGGCGGGCTCAAAAAAAGCTGAGCAAACCTCAGGTTTCCCCTTTGGACCTCTCGTTTAGTTCGAGCTGTAGCTTGTTCCAGCTGCTTCATTCACGTTTTTACAAAAACAACCCAATTATATTCCATTGTACTTTAGTAAAATAGCGTAGGCTAAAAATAGTCCGATGAGAGACCTAGCCAGTGTATGTGAAGTTTGGTGTCTGTGAGTGATGGTGATGGTCCTAGTTGTGGTGGTGGAGGTGTTGGTGGTTATGAGTGCGCTCTCGGGGGACGAGGCAATCAGGCCTAATCAACTCCGCTTGCCTCGGTCCCTGTTTGGAGTTGAAGCCAGCTGTGTTATGACCCCCTATTTCGTGTCTTCGTCGTTCCTTCCTCATTGGCTTTGCATCAGGCACGTACCTTTTTCCATTCAGATTCGCAACGGTGCTTTGTAGCAAATTTGAAGGCCAAACACTGAACCTGTCACGTTGAGAATATTTTTTATCGATATTTTCATTCGTATAGTTTCGATAGCAGGAGAACTTGAGAATTTCCAATCGTTTTCCCCATTATAGCCGCTAACATTCCTCACACTTTTCCGGCTGGAAGTTATCAAAAGAATGCTGATTTAAAGTCAAAAGCTTTATCCCAGTGAAAAGCCGAACATGGAATCACGCTTAACGGGCTAATTTGTAGACTTTTTCAAAGCTTGGCATTGTTACAATGTTGCCAGTGTTGTTCGCGGCGGATGAGGGGCGTGCCAAGGGGAATGGATTTGGCGCAGCGTCAGCCTGTTTTTTTTTCTTTCGGCAAGCGACAGAAGTGCTCTACTACAGAAGAGTATTAACGTTTGTATCAGTTTCTTCTATTCCTATGTTGTTGTCGCCTGGTACCCCACCCCAAAAAACTGAGGTGCAGCAATGGGCCTAGCCGTCTGCCAACCAAGTCACTGACACGCGCCCCTTCATCCGCAGCAACAGGCCTATATGGCGACTGATGGCTTTCTGGTTTGGAACTACACGCCAGCGCGAGGACCTGACTTCGAGAGGTTCTTTTTCTGTAAAAGAGAAGCCACTCTCATCTCCTTTCATCGAGGCTGTGCCATTGCTAGCATACTCTTGTTAACCCTTTTGAAAGAACGACAAAAGCGAATCGTCTCGAAGCTATTACTTTGCAACCACTTTGATACTTCTGTTCCCAAGGGAACGCGCTTAGGAAGAATATCCTTGTTGTAATATGTTTGGAAGCCTTCTGTCCAATCGTCCATTCTTTTGCGATGCTCACCGCCGTACGACATGTCATTGCTGGCTATCTTCCATTAGGTCCTCCCATTCAAAAGTGCCCAAGATTTTATTCATATAAAACGAAGAGGAAAATAGATAAAAAAGTAATATTTTGGCTTTGAGTTAAGTAGATCCCTCCTTCACCAATGACCCGCTCCCAGTGCCCCGAAAGCCTTTGGACCTCTGGTACCTTCGTTTTTTCAACAAGTGCGAGTAAATTGCTGTTGATGCCAATTTCGGCGAATGACAAAACATTGTAGCGTTTGCCGTCGGAGAGTACCCTCGACTGACCAGAACAGTTGGAATCGAACGGCTTTATGTTGGGCGAATGGGGCGATTGAACCCAGGTCTCAGTATTGTTTGTGTCCCAGCACTGCCCTACAATACAGTTACTCGGGTCTGGCACTATGACGAGCAACGGTGGCCTTCTTGTAGTTATACTCGAAATCCCTAGAGATCGGGTAGGCGTGGCTGCATTTTCAACTTAACCTGGATCATACTTCT